GAGGACGGCTTTGCAGGTGTAGGGGGAGTGACCATTTGTCACGTGAGAGATTTATTCCTTATCTTCTCTAGCAGCAGTTAGATACCATTTCCTCTTAATCACATGCCCTCTACGTCATCCAGATGAGTTCATTGAAAAACGTGGGGATGGTTATAATGCTTTGGTCCGTCAGTGTATAAAATCACATGTTTTGCAGAAATTTAACTTGTCGTTTTCTCTTTTCTCAATAAAATTCACAGTTCCATACTTAAAGACCCCATTCCGGGTACGAACTTCTGGAATATACATAGGATTCCTTGCTAATGGAGTTTAATTTACATTCTTCAAACTAGGAGAGCCTTAAAATTTCGCGCTAAGAGCATAAGTTAGAAAAAAACGAAACTCAGAAATTCTCTGTTGCTCAATACGGTTGATCAGAAACGCATATTTTTCATTTTTCTGCAGCCAAAATTATTCAAAAAGCATCTTACATCAGCTAATTGGATTTTCTCGAAACGTTTCACATTCATAAAAATCTTTTAGTTCTAGTTAACGATCCCACCTCCAGTATGTCTTTACACTCAGCTTTTAAGGAAATTACTTGACAGTTGTTTATATTTTTAATCAGTCAATGGCACCACTAGCTTTATTTCCTTCGTTTCATTGTTATCGCCTGAGTTCAGGCTTGTTTCAGTTGTCTCTTAGCACTTTCAAAAAGCTAATATTTTAGCTTTTATCACTTTTCATCATCTTGCTTGATAGATGGCGCTAATTTCACTTTTTGTTTGTACTCCTCAATGGTTTTTCATATAAAATTTGATACTTGCTCCTTCCACTTTTGCAAAACTTTCTTGCCTTTGGAGAAGAAGGATCTATGTCAGATTGCCCTCGAAATGGATGGAAATTTTATTGAAAATCGAAGTTAATCTAAGGTTGCTTTTTAGACCTCGTGTACTTTGTTGAATTCTGATCCAATCCATTTGTAATGATGCTTATTCTCCAATTATTTAAAGTGTGCATTTTTTTTTTTTTTTTTTTTGTTGTTGTTGTTGTTTTGTTTTGTTTTGTTTTGAATTCTGATTTCATTTACATAACCAAATGAACTTTCTCTTCAAATTAAATTGCTTGAAAATCTGGTAATTGTGAATATCCTTTTCCTGTTAGTTATAAAATTGGTTATTTCTATTTCCTCTATTTTTTAACTGTCTGCGTACTAACAGTAATTTTGAGTTAGGCATGGACATCGTTCTCCTTATAATCCCAGTAAACAGGGAGTTGGTCGCTAGGTAATAGGAATTTTATAAATTTCAAGATTTAGTGAAACAGCTCTTTTTAAATTGGGTTTTATGAGATGTATCAAACGTGTTACGATTTTGGGCAGATAGGAGACGAAGCCGTACTGTTATCTGGGTGCAAGTTCTCTATCTATGTCTTGACTGACAGGTCTTAACCTGTCTTATTTGAATCTGTCTTATTTGAAAACTGTCTTATTTGAACGTACTGATACGTCTCCCTTCTGGTCATCTTTCTGATTTTTATTTACATTTTATTTTGCTTCCTGGCTATCTGTACGAATCTCAGATATAAACTGTTCCACATACTCCGTATTGATTCCAAGGAATAACTTAAATATGTTGCCTATTGCTCAAAAGAAATAGGGAATAGATTTTGTTGCTGCCCGTGAAAAAAAAAGGAAATCCTCTAGATTCATTCTTTTCTTTCTTTTTCCAAAGCCACCCCCTTTTTTCCTTTTTCTTTTCTTCCCTCCTGCTTTGTAATATTAGACATTTGAGATAGGAAAAACACAGATGTTATATAAAAAATACCGATAGCTCACCATCCATTCGCACTGATATCATAGTAGATTCATTTGTATAGAAACCATATAACAAATATAGATATCATATGGCAAAATTAATTTTCAACAGTTTTTGGAATCCATTGAAAAAAACAGAGGAATTTTTTTTATTCCTAAAAATTCGCAAAATTTTTTACTTGGAACAAACTTTGTTTAAAAGATTTTTTTTTTCGCTCTAGCAGATTTTGCAAGAGGCATAAGATTATTAGTCCAGTATTATGAGCTTATTATTAATTAAATTAAAATATTTGCGAAAATAGAAAAAAAAAGCATTTTAGTATTAAATGAAGGAAATTCTAAATGAAATTTTAAAAAAATCACTTCAAGGAGAACACCTTCACAATTGCATAGCTCTGGGCTTATTCGTGTCTGTACTAACACACAACACAGACAAAGGTCTACCTTTTATAACTATAAATTAGTTTCAGTCTATTTTATAACACTATATTACTTTGTATTAATTTATATTTATTAATTATCTGTTTTTTTTTACCTTGTTTTGCTATAACTTAATATTTTGTTTTATTTTTAGTTTGTGTGTAACAATCTAAATCTATAATTGAATATAAAACATATTAGTTATCACATGTTACATATACAATGAGATGAATTTGTTCGTATTTAAATTCTGTATTGTTAACCAATGGAATTTTGTAAATAGCTCAGATAGCGCTTTTAAAGTTTACCGATCCTCTGCAAAAAACTTTTTCTTCCTTGTACGAAATAAAAGAAGTATTGTAATTGCGAAAAATTTTGGGTACCGTTTTTCAACAAAAACATCTATTTTGACTGCACTCGATTCCATTTGAACGATGTTTTTAGGTTACATTTGTACGCACGGACAGAATAAAAACTTTTTACTCTAAACAGATTGTGAAATGGAGTTAAAATGGATTCAGAAGATATTTTTTCGTGAAGTCTCTACGTACGTATGTATGTATGTATCTCGCATTACTCAAAAGCGAGTAGCTCAGGACGTTGAAATTTTGTGTATGGGACTGCTATAACATGTAGATGTGCACCTCTCTCGTTTTGGTTGCAATCGGTCGCACCAAAAATATATATATATATGTATATGTATATATATATATAAAGAATATATATATATATATCCACTCTGTTACCCGGCTCGGTGAGCTAAGTTTTTTTATTTTTATATGTTGGTAAATTGTGCATTTTTTGATTTAAAAGTGTTATATTGTTATATTATACATAAGTGTGATATTGAATTATATTGTTCTTATGTTCAGGTTAAGATTTTTAGGCCTTTAGTTAATCTGCATGCAGTAGTTGTAGAATTATTAACAATTTAAAAGTTCGTTAAGTTCCACTAAGCCTAACGACGCCGCCATTTGTTTACATTCTAAACTTCGTAGCATAGTGAATTAATTCAGTTTCTGCACCAACTTCAGTGTCTTTTTGTGCCCAAAAAATCTGTCTTTCTGCCTAATTTTAATTAATTTAATCTCTAATTTTAATTGCAAAAATTGTTTTTTAACTGTTTTTACTCTATTTGGTGTTTTAGATTTTTCAGTATTTTTCAATTTTTTTAGGTAGATGTTTTGAGTTTTTATGTATTATTTCCTTACCGCGAAGTGAGAAGTGAATTGATTTAAAGAAAATATATCTCTAATAATATTCGGTTCATATAAGTTTAAATGAAATGCAGCAAATAATGTGCATAATTTAATAAGCCGTACAAAGAAGTAATGTGGTGTCCACATCAGGTTTTTTGCGAACTTTGGCTGCCCTTGGAAAATTCTCTCTAAATTTGGGGATGTTGTGAAATTTTCCTGAAACGAGATCTTGCTATCCTAAAAGCTTGCTGAAGGAATTTAGCTGCAAATTCTAAATCTTTTTCTCCTGTCCTCACTCCACAAAAAAAAAATATCAGAGCTGCTGGAAGATGTCGCTAGTTTAGTTCAGATATCATATAGCAAAACTAATTCTGTAGTCACCTTGAGTGCAAATTCTGAGCTTTAGCAAGGCATAGCATTAGCCCTCTCAGCGATTTTGCAATTGTATTGTGCCTTTATGAGGTTTGAAATTCTAGACAGCAAGAAATTCTTCGTTTTCAGAACCAAATATGCTATATTTTTTTTCCTATTTAAAAAAGGATTTGAACAATGGCTAATTGCATCTACTTGGATTTATATTTCACTCTTTTCGTTTTTTCTAATTGCTTTTTATGATTTTAGAGCTAGAAATGCAATGAATCTACTTTTTCTTTCCATTCTGCATTTTAGTTCAGATCTGTATGAACCGACTGATATGAAGTGGCACTTTATTATATGAGCTTGCTTAACAACATTGTCCGTTTAAAATGCAAAGAAGGCAGCCTTTTTTAACATAGATTTTTGAATAAAACTACCTATTTCGAAAGCCTGCACAGAGTTGGAAAATTATGTACTTCATCAAATTTACTTATTAATTGTTTATTATTGCATACATATAATAAAAATGATAAAAAGCAAAGATTTGTAATTAAAGCTATATACAAACAAATGTAAAAAGGACCATTGTGTATTTTTAATAATATTTAGGTACACACAGCTGTCAAACTACCACATAATAAATGTTGTCACAATCATTTTTTAATCATTTTTTTCACGGGAATAAATGCATCATATAAGAATGAAGAAAAAAATTTACTTCCGTATTTCACAACAATTTTCTTTCCTGATGCAAAATTTCAATAGATATGTATGTGTGTGTGTCTGTGTGTTTCATAGGTTGTGTTCTGTAAAACTCTTATGTGATCTACTAACGCGAAATACGGTAAGAAACTTTTCCAATCAAAACAATCCAACCAGAAGCAGAATCTTTCTGTGATTGACTGACCTATGCGTAACAATGTCAACGCATTATTTTCCACAACGTCGTAAAATATTGTGGGTAGGTACGTGAAAAAGACTGCTGTAACTTTCCCCCAAAGATTGAGCTAGAAATCTGCCTTTCAAATTAGTTCTAAGAGAGACGCATTTCTTGAAAACGTTTCTCATTGCGTTTCGCGTCGGTAGATCCGATAAGGCCATAATTTGTAGTTTTCAAGGAATTTTCTTAAAAACTACTGTGAATACGTGGTTATTGGAACCAATTTATATCACATTCCATGTCATGGTGACAGTTGCTTTTAACTGTTTCAGGAGACTGCAGATAGTTAAAGATGGCGGAAGAATATCGCATTCGCCTGGTAGTCTTGGGAGGCTGTGCTACGGGGAAGAGTTCCATTATCAAGCGGTTTCTCTTCAATGCATTTTGTGACAAGCACAGACCCACTGTCGAGGACCTCCACTGCAGAGAATTCGACTTGGACACGATGACACTTAAGGTGGACATCCTGGACACTGCGGGCGACTTTCAATTCCCGGCCATGAGGCGGCTGTCCATCGCTACTGCCAGTGCTTTCCTTCTGGTCTACAGCATCGACAATGCCGAATCATTTCAAATAATCAAAGATTGTTTTGCGGTAAGAAAATTATAATATTTCTTCGATTCTAAAATGACAGCAAATGTAAAACGATTTCTGTAATAAATTTAAAAAGACGTTTCTTCGATAATGATATAATTTTGAGCAGGATAATTGATGCAGTTTCTCACCTGCAGCCGTCATAGACATATAACCGGCATTATGTTACCAATACTGTTCATAGTGGACATAAGCTGACTGACTGTACCATCGCATACCGACCAAATTAACTGTTACAGTATTTAACTTGGATGAAAATTAATTCCATTGTTTTGTTTTAGTTAAAAAATCTGATGTGTACACCACATGACTTCCTTTTACAGAATATTAAATTACACGCACTTTCTTCTGGAATTTCATTTAAATTGATTGGATTGAATTAAATCTACTTCGTTCGACAGCGCATAAACCACAATAGAATAAATGCACTCTTTAAAATTCACTATATTTGTTTACTATAACGACACTCTGAATGCACAAAATTTATATCATTTGAAGAATTATCGTTGCCACATGTTCTATTCAAATACTATAATAAAGCTAAAACGATGTATGAAAGAAATTAAGCAAACAAAACAGAAAAGAAACAGTTTTTCACAGACGATTTAGTATTTCTCATTCAATTAATTCAGCTCTCACTTCGCGACAAGGCAAAAATACATAAAAACTCAAAATATCTGCATTAAAATTACGAAACACTTATTTAACACTTATTTCCTCGAAAAAATTCCAGAAAGGATTAAGCATGATTTAATTCGCAATAATAAATGAAGGCGTTATTTTTGTGTTGCGAAGCTTAGTCTCTCTATATTGGCAACAAATTTACAATTCTGCTGTTTCAAATGTAAACAAATATGTCCGCCATGTTATTTAAAACTTAACCGTACTTAAACAGCTTTTTTAAATTGTTGATAATTTTACAAATATGGCTTCCAGAATTACGAAAGGATTTCCAGAATTATAAAAACCTTAACCGGAAGATAAAAACAACATAATTCAATGATTTTTAAAGCAAAAAATGTACAATTTACAAACATATAATATAAAGATACTGAGATCACTGAGCCGGGTAACAGAGTGGATATATATATAAATATATTTATATACGTTTGGTGCGGCCGATTGCACCCAAAATACGAGGTGCACATCTACATGTTATAGCAAACCTGTATACAAAATTTCAACGTTCTGAGGCTACTCGTTTTTGAGTTATGCGAGATACGTACGTACATACGTTCGTACAGACGTCACGAAAAATTCTCTTCAGAATTAATTTTAAAGCAGTTTTATAATTTTTTTGGAGGAAAGGTGTCTTTTATTCTGCCCTTACGCACAGATATCATGCAAAAACACCGTTAAATTGCATTCGAAAGCGGTCAAAGTGGATATTTTCGTTGAATATGCTGCCTGAAGCTTTTCGCGATTACAATACTTCCTTTTTACTTCGTACAAGGAAGTAAAAAGAGATGGGACGTAAATAAACAGAAATTGGATGAAGTAACGGTATTTTGTTTTTTATTTTAAGCAAATAAGAAAAAATATTTCATCAAATAATTTTGTGGAAAAAGATTGTTTTGTGGATTATTTTAAGGAAATAAAATTATTTGTTTAAGTTTAATCTTTACAAAAACAGAATAAATATAATAAAATAAATATAAAAGTAACTATAACTAGAAAAAGTATAATTCACTTGATGTAACATACGTATTTGAATATAATAAATACTGTTACGAATTTTGCATATATATAAACAATTTTAGTAAAATTACATGTTAATTGTAGTATCTCTTGTATAATGTAACATGAAAGGCCTTGAAAGAGTTCAGCTTAGCTGGAAAAATAAGGTTACAGGGGCAATTTCATTTAATATTGAGGTAAATGGTTATTACGCTTAATTGGAGATATAGAGATATAGTGTTTTAAAACTGAATAAATCATGGTTTTTGATAGTTGACGATTTTCGGAACTTTTAAGCATTTCAGTTTTTCTCCTTTTGCCATGGCAATTCTAAAAGCGCTTTCTTTCTTAGAAGTTTCCATTAAATGAGGTGCCATTTTGTCAACGATTACAGTATTTAACTTAACTAGCTTTTGTTTTGAAAGAAAGAATAAGCAACTTAAAAAATATGCATGTTTATTTTATTGGCTCTTACTTTGCCAATGTAGTTGTCTCATTCTTTCTTAAAATTTCAGTATTTCTGATATTTCTGTTTCTATTCTACAGGAAATTCGGGAACAAAAGTCTGACTTCCAGGAAGTGCCGATAGTCATCGTGGGGAACAAATGCGATCTCGGAGACGAAAGACGAGCCATCCCTCGCGAGATAGTTTCTGAATGGTTCTACTGCGAGCTGCCTCGGATCCGAGCCAAGCTCTTGGAATGCTCAGCTAAAGACAATGTCCACATAAAGGACATCTTTAGAGCTTTCTTACAAATGTCCAAGCTGCCTGTACCAGCTGAAGGCCTCCGTAGGAGATCCAGTGCTCATGCAGCTGCAGGTGGATCCTCCTCTTCCACCAATGGAACGCCGGGCAGGCTGCAATGTCCACCAGCCGATGGCGAAGTGGCAGCAAGTCCTCCGCAGCGAAGTTTCAAACCTCGAAGTCGTAGTCTTATCAGAAGAAGCAGCAAGAAAATTAAAAGAACTGATCCTGCATCTGGATCTCAAGGCACCACTGCCAACATTGATGACTGCTGCATATCTTGACTTATATTTGACGATTTGGTGAGAACTGTGGAACAAAAGAACTTTCTCTGAAATATTTAAGAGCTTTCCCGATGTTTCTCTTTGAATTAGGAAAACGAGCGACGGGTGGCTCTGTCGTTCACATCCGTCTTGTGTTTCTTGTTGTGTACGTTGTTTGAATGTGAAGAGTGTTATTATTCTTTGTCCTATACAAGTTAGTTCTTATCATTCGTAAGGAAATAGCTTCTATATATACAAATTAATCAAGACATAAAAATGTTACTTAAATGTCCATTTCATAGGGAGATTAACATAATTTCCATTTTGTGAGTATTCTGAGTGCTGTCGTGCATGCCATGTTTTATAATCATGATACCTTGATAAGTCAAAGATGTTACTCTATTGAAACTATGAGTACCGTAGTTCTAAATTTCTTTCTTGAGCCGAGTTCATATCAGATTTAAAATAAAATAAGTATTATGAACGTACATAATGCACCCTGAGAAAAAAATGTGTATCCAAAGAAAGTTTACTTATCCATTCTCTGCGAAAAGCAAGAGTTTTGCTCTTATTATAGTGGATTGTTTTTTAATATATTCATATTCGCGTCCGATCTATACTCTTTGTATCCCATATTTGTTGCAGTTCCCTTATGCATGTGACTGAGAAAATGGGCGAAGAAATTCATTCTTACAATACGAAATAAAACTTGCACTTCTGGAGTTGTTTGAGGAGATTAAAACAGAAAATAATAAACAAAAAAAAAAAATAATTTTTAAATGCAAAAATGTGATACATAGTATCCAATATTATTTTCACATTCTATATTATATACTAATCTTAAGTTATTTAATTTGATAATTTTTTTAAAAGTCAGTGTGGCGAACTGACTTTATAAGGAACAGAATATACTGTCATTTTTTCATTACTAACTACTAACTAATCATGTAAAGATGAGTGATAAATTATCACGGCAAAATATAGCATTCAGAAAGTTCCTGACATGTTTAAAAAAATTCATTGTTTAAAAAGGCAAGAAAGATAAACACAAGTTTAAAAATATTATTATGCAGCAACCTATTATTTCAAATATGGATTGTGATGAAGCTCATCATCTACTTAACTTAATGGAAAAAATTAACATTTGAATTCCTGAAACATTTTACTTTTTCTTTTGTACTTCCTTAAACGAAGTAAAAGGGAGGTATTGTAATCGCGAAACGTTTCAGGCATCATATTTTAAAAAAAATATATCCATTTTCACAGCTATTGAATGGAATTTAATGATGTTTTTGCAGGACTTCTGTACGTAAGGACAGAATAAAGGACTCTTTTCCCCAAAAAAATATAAAACTGATTTAAAATGAATTCTAAGGAGAATTTTTCGTGCCATCTGTGCGTACGTACATACGTATGTGGCATAACTCAAAAACGAGTAGCCTCAGAGCGTTGAAATTTTGTATATAGGACTGTGATAACATGTAGATGTGCACCTCGTATTTTGGTTGCAATCTGCCGCACCAAAAGTATATAAATATATGTACATATATAAATTTTAATTTTAACAAACATGTATATACTTAAAAAAGAAAATTTAAAGTTAAAATAAGTTTTTTAAAAATATATCCACTCTGTTACTCGGCTCAGTGATCTCAGTTTCATTATTCTTATATGTTTGTAGACTGTGCATTTTTTTTTTTTTTTTTTTTTTGCTTTAAAAATTATTGAATTATGTTGTTCTTATCTTCTGGTTAAGCTTTTTATACCTTTAGTAAATTTTTAATATAGATATTTTGAGTTTTTATGTTTAGACTTGTAGCGAAGTGTGGACTGAATTAATTGAATCAGAAATACTGAATTGTCTGTGAAAAACTTCTTTTTTTGTTTGGTTGTTTAATTTCTTTTGTACATAGTTTTAGATTCATTATAATTTTTGAATAGAACATGTGGCAACGATTATTTTTCAGACGATGTAAATTTTGTGCATTCTGAATTATAAAATTAATGAAATGTAACGCTGTTAAATGAGCTTAGCACCAAAAAGTCACTATGATAAATAAACATAGTGAATTTTAAAGAGTGCATTTATTCTATTGTGGTTTATGCTCTATCGAGGAAATAGATTTAATTCAATCCAATAAGTGAAATGCAAGAAAAAATGCGTATAATTTAATATTCCGTACAAGGAAGTTATGTGGTGTACACATCAGATTTTTTTTTTTTTTTTTTTTTCCCATTTTACTGAATGTTTCTTACGTCTTTGTAGTTCAGCTCAGTTGTTACCAAAACTCTGAAATGGTATTTCCTCAAAATGTAATCAGATTGTAAAGTAGACCATTTAACAGTAGAAAATTATTTAATGTATTTAAATTATTTCCACACATATGATATTAGTGCCGAATATACATAAATATAAATGGTTCTACTGCGAGTTGTCTTATAACAGAACTCTCTCAGTAAACGTCCATCTTTGAATTTAAAATGATATGCCAGATCAGAAGATTATTCAACATGATTGATTGGATTTCGGGTGAACTAAATTCTTTACTTATTAACCGTATATTAATTGAAGGAATTTCATGAAATGAAGGTTGAAAATTCTGCCTACATTTGATAGGTAACAGCGTATTGATGACTTTCACATCTAGCTGTTTTTAAGGTCGCCGGATATTAAATTATGTGGGACCGTTGCATAACTGCGGCCCGGCATAGTATTTCTACAAGTCGGTTTTGGTTCGAAAAGACATAAGCCTTCAAGAGTTTTTCACCCTTAAAGAGAACGGTTTCCAAATTGTATATAACAATATTCATAGAGGTACGAGCATCTTTTCACAAAGCCCTTGCTGTGCAATACAGTGCTTTAATTTGCTACTCTGATTAACAAAATGCATGTAAATTCTACGTATATATCGGGGCGCTATCATAAAGTGTAACTAACTAGCTTTTGTTGTTATAAACGTGATTGCGTCTTTACGAAGGCATACCTACCAACTTTGTCAAAATAAAAATCAGAAATTTTGCATTTTTCAATTCAAAAATAAGCGTAAAATGTACTACAAAGAGAAAAAAGAACTACAAAGAAAGCTAACTCATATCTGAAGATTTTCAAAATTCTGCTTTGCATTTAGAGTCTTGCTGCTGTATATTTAGATTCTTGTTTGAATTTCCCACTTTAGATATTCAAAAATTACCAAAATGAAACGTAAAGTTATTTTAAAACATGAAATAAAGATATTTTAATACTAATTTTGCGAAAAAAATTCTTAATTTTAACATATAGTCGTTATTTTAATTTTACATTATCGTAATAGCGTTCTTAAATTTGCGAGAAAAAAAAATCTTCGGCAGCGCCCAACAAAAAGAAAATTGCATTGTAAAGAGGGGGGGAATTCCTTATGATGCAATAAAAAGAACGAGAATTTAAACAGTAACCCAAATGTCAACCAAATTTACATACTTTAAATGCAAATCATCGACCAATTGGCAAAATGCAGATCATTGACTGGCACGTTTATTAGCACTACTGAAAAAACAAATTTGTAAAAAATCAAAAACTGAAGACATTTTTGTGAAAATTACGAAAAAAGTCATAAAATCTGTTAAATATGTGAAGATTGCGTTTTACAATAAATGTTGCTCTTTGCAAGTTCTTATAAAACTTACTTTATAAAAAATCTGATGTATACACCACGACTTCCTTGTGCGGAATATTATAATATAGTATTAATTGCGGAATACTTGTACGGAATATAATAATATACAATGCGTATAATAAATTATACGCAGGTTTTCCTGCATTTCTTTTAAATTTACTTCCTCGAATTTCATTAGCGATATATTTCTCATTCAATTAATTCAGTTCTCATTTCGCGGCAAGGCAAAAATACATAAAAACTTAAAATATCTTCATTAACAATTGAAAGATCAAAAAATCATAAAACACCAAATACAGTTAAAGCAAGTAAAAACCAATTTTTACAATTAAAAGTACAGTTTTTACGCAAAAACAAGCAATTCAGCCAGCGGGCAAGAAGGCAGATTTTTCCGTGCACAAAACTAAAAGTTTTCCTTTTGATCCAACTCGGCAAAAAAGACACAAGTTGTGTGATTAACATACACTGCGCCAAAAAAAAAATCTGAAAGGTTTCGGATTTTAAATTACTCCCAATCTACTTTAAGATGATCGAAAAACTCTTATAGGTTATAATTCAAATTTTTTTTCGAAAAATTTATAAAAATTATTTAAAAATACAAATTTTAAAAATAAATCGTAAAAAAATAGGTGAATTTTATTAGGAATAAATTTCGAGAAGGAAGGATCAAATAAATAGTAATAATAAAAGGAAGAATCAAATAAGTTTAATGAAAAAAAAGATATTAATAAATGTATATAAGTCAGCATTGAGGAGTTAAAATTTTCAAAGCTAATTTTTTAAAAACTGCTCTTGTGATTTTTACAAAACTTGGCAGTTTGGCATAATTTGAGTCTTAGAATCGATATATGAAAAAAAATTGGCATGTCACTTTAGAAAAAGTCCGATTTCGTGTCAAAATACCTATGTTAGAACAATGCTATATATAAATCTAATACATATCCTAAGTCGCGCTTTCGAGACATGAAAAACGCAAGTTAAATTTCCTCAAACGGCCCAGTAAAACGGAAGATGCAGAACTGTCCCCTTCTTCTTTTTACTTTCGCAGTGTACCTATGGCGTTTACGTACGTACGTTTCGTGGCAAAAAAAGAAAAAAAAAAATCCATTTTGAATCTGTTTTATAATTTGTTTGGGGAGAAAGAGTTCTTTATCCGGTCCTTACATACAGATGTCATGCAAAAACGTTGCTAAATTTCATTCGATAGAGGTCAAAATGAATATTTTCGTTGAAATTTGATACCCAGAATTTTTCGTGATTACAATAATTCCTTTACTTCGTATAAGGAAGTAAAAATTAGTCTTCATGAGATTGCGGACATTTTTATGCCGGGGCATCCTTAAAAAAGCTTTTGTGTATTCGTAAAGTAAGCCGATTTGCTTAAGTTCCGGTACTTTTATAAAAGGGCACCGTTATGAAGACAGGGCATTTTCTTGGACGTATATGAAAGATTTTGTGTTTGCATCATCTTTACGACACGTCTACAAGAAATAAAAGGAAAAAGGAAACAAACAAAAAGTAAACAACAAAAAATGTAACAAAACAACACTTTACTACTTTTTTGTTTACTTACTTTACTTTTGTTTACTTACTACTTTTTTGTTTACTTACTTTATTTATTTACTTACTTTTTTTCCAACAAAAAAGAAAATACATAAACAAACTTAGTCTTACTGCAGTAGAGGCAATAGCAAATTAAGTGCTCGACTGCATACGGCAAGAATTTATTATGATCATTACGTTACCCAAGTACCTAATGGAAGCAAGGCAGATTAAGTAAAATTCGGTTACATTTTCCTTACATTTAATGGATTGCTTGGCACTTATTGATTGTAATTTCAAAAAGTAAAGTCATTCGAAATTGCTTCAATCATTTTAAAAAACCTTCTACTTTAAAACACAAGCTTCACATTAAATTTGCTTTTATACTTCTCTAATTAAACTTGAATAATGTAGTACATTTTTCAAAACTGCCCCTAAAATATTCTATCATTTTAAAACTAAAAATGTATTAGCT